ATCCCGATTTTCCTGCCCTAACTACTGAGATTTTGCAACTTATCTTGTTAGTTTCTCTCTCGATTTGGTATTGCTGAGCGGAACAGGGAGTCCTGTTTCCTGGTACCCATACTGAAGGCGTAGCACAACTGTTATTCAGATCGGTCCTCTGCTTTCTTGCAAAATTGTAACAGAACTTCTTAATATATGAATTCGGCAAAAAGTGGCAAATATGTGTGCGTATCTGAACATGTCTCTCGGTTTCTCTGGAATTTCAAATTTTGTTTCTAAGTAGAATCTAAATGCAACTCAATACTGACAGTTCGAAGTAGTCTGTCTATCGATCTTCCCGTTCCAATCTCTCTCTCTCGCGCGCGCGCACACTTCAATTGAATTCACATTGTGCAATTCGCTCTGTTAGTACGAACTATGTTAAATCGAGATGAATCGATGCCCGCATGAAAGCATTAATTCAGGTAACAATTTAGCAATCAATAATTTTTTTAATTGTGAATGAGGTCAAACAAATAAGATGATTTCAAAAGATAACTATCAAACGTGTCCCACGGAATCACGACTGATGTGAACAGTTTAACTAGATTGGGCTAACCCCATCGTAACGGCAGAGCAGATAAACAGTTATTTACTAATACATCAATATCATTTTTTCTGTTTATTGATTTGTGTTGATTTATAGCTGCTGTTCCCACAAGGTATTTTACGGGTTGCGTTTCTTTTTGAGCTGATTTTAGGGACATTATAATTTACCGATTTGTATGGATAGAAGATTGCATGTGAAACGTGGTAGAGTGTCGTGCTAAATGTCATTAATCTTCATCACTTGCACAGCTCTCATCTGTTGCCGTAAACGACTGAGGTGGGCATCTATCATCATACTCCGGACAAATCGCTCGACAAAAATGGTTAGACCAGATTTACGGTGTTAAGTATTCCAAAGCTTTATCAATTTGCGATAGGAATAGTTCAACTGTCAGATTGCACACAACATGGGGAATGGAACAGTATTCCATCCACATCGCACACTCTGACTGCAAATGAGTGATGCCGGCAATCAAGGTGACTGTTCTGAGTCCTTAACTAAATTGGATGTCCACTGAGATGATGACTATTTTAAGATCATCCAATCAACACGGAATGGTACATTTGGTTGGGTTGATGCAATATGTGGTCTGTCACGATTAGGTCTCCCCCAAACTCGCCGGTACTGAGATGGGTAAAGCCCCATTATGATAGAGTTTTCACAGGAGAATTCGGTCGTTTAATCGATCAAATTCCTTGGAAAATTCCAAACAAGCTGTTGGCATTTAACTCAATTACTTATTAATAAAACTGGGGGATATTTGATATTGATTAATTAATTGGAATTGATCATGCTTCAGACCTCACCTTCACGCACATTCCTCGGCTCGTACATTCCTCCATACACTTGGAAGCAGTAGACTCGAGTTTCGCTCTTATTAGATTTCATCAACTGTGTCCAGTGACTCGCCTGCATAGACGGATTTTGTCCACTTGTTTCGTGCAAGGAGTAGATTTGTGGTGCACAAACGTTTGCGCCAAAATCCGTGCTAAGCAGCAGATAAAATCTCGTGCTTCTTCGGAGACTCCGTCAAAAAATCTGTTACAACAGCATTTTGGGAAGGATAACAAGGCAGCAATTGGTGGAATTACCGCCTTGTTGAACGGCCGTTGGTAAAGAACAGTCAGAGTTTCTGATATGTCATCGGTTAGTGAAATTGAAGTCCGAGGATGTTTGTTGTCCTCGCTTGGGCTGACCGTCAGCGGATCGCCACAAAGAAATCATTGCATTTCGGCGAGGTGCATGCAACCCATGGTCGAGTGGCTCAAAATTAGGCGAGCATAGGATGAGGCAATTCTGCCTCGTTTTCAATTCGCGTTGTTGTGCTCAATTTCATCAGAGGGCAAGTATTTCTCGATGAGCCTCAGCCTAGTTTCCTTCCCTCTAATGCATTTGTGTTGGGTGATTTTTCGGTACTGTCCTCTCACCCGCTCCACGATTCTACCAGCACGGATTACCGCTAACCATTATCGCATTCGCTGGTTCCACATGCTCGCCTCTGTCATCGTTATGAGCTGAGCTGTGATCACTCAATCACATATAAGTAGTATAATCGCCTCACATGTATATTAAACCGTCTCATATAATGATGCATCGAACGGAAACGTTTTCGCGAACACCGTTTTCTAAATTGTCTATGGGAATCATTTGCTCACGTGAACTGTTTTCATCCTGCGCATCTGAGCACTGATTTACTTCATGGGTTATACACACAATCAACAACTAACCAGGGTTCGAATGATCTCACAGAAGGCATTGAGAACGATCAACAACGACGCAGCGTGGTCAACAGGCTCGGATGACAGAAATGATTCGGATTTGGCTGGGAACGTGCACGCGTGCGTGAAATTGATCACAGTGTCAAAAGTCAAGTAAGTCAAGACAGGTCGAGTGAAAATCCGCGACATGCACAGGAGAGTGAATTTTGAGCAGCTTTCACGAGAAAACATTGCAAACGGAAAGAACACACAAAGGAGCAAGATAGGGGGGTGAACAAAACAATCGACAGCATACTGCAAACGACAAGACGATGGAAATAGTTAAAAACACTTAGGCGTCGCATTGATGAAGTTTCTCATCCTAACCGCGGCAAAGGCCGTCAGGAATGGAATTCACCTTCCCCCCACCCCTTCTGTGCCCTGAATTGAGTTGTGCCAACACTTGGTCTTCTCGGGGGCAATCCGTCCCCCCCCCACCACACTCCAAACACGTGTACAACCACTTAAACTTCTTACAGACACTCAATTTCTGAGCCAAATATGAACAACTAAAACTGTTTTATTTTAGAGTAGCAACCGTGGATTCGATTGTTAACATGCACCGGGCAGTTTTGCAAAAGGTGATGACCGNATCAGAGGCAAGGGTTTAAAGTCCCGACCCGACTGATCGCGGTTCGATTCCTGAGAGGGATACAAAAGTACGCGCACTGCTGATGAGTCCTAAACAGGACGAAACAGATGTCCAGTACACTTTGTCGGTTATCACAAACTAAGACCGTTGTTTATCGTCCTCTCATTGTCCCTGAGATGATGATCATGTGTAATGTTATGCATTGGCACGGTTACGAATAACTAACTGAAACCGAGTCTTTTTGGGGCACAATGTGTTGTTCTTCATTGATTATGACTTATATGTGATTAAAATGTGTCGTTACTAATCGAAATTGAGTGCGAAGCGATTTATACAGATTAACCATAGATTCTCACATGACTTGACATTTGCGCACGATCGATATTCACAGCTCTTGGAACAAATAAACATGTCGCATGAGATCACCTTAGTGTTTGAAGGATTCAAACTCGCGTAGCATTGCCTCCTGATAGACATACATCTACGAGATCTGCTGGGACGATTGATCTGTGGACTGTTTCTCTCTATATATATATCTCTTTATCTCCTCATTTTACAATCGCATTTAGTGTGCTTAGTCACTTTGTAGGCTTATATGGAAGTATCTCAGTGCTCAACATAGTGCCAATTAATATGGAACACAGAGAGTTCCGTTTCTTTTGTTTCTGGGTTTTCTTTAATCCAGATGTGCAATAGAAACAACCATCTCTCCCCCCTTTCTTCACATCATTTCATTCGTGTAACCAATGGGTTCAAGCTATTCTTGAGCTCAAACAATACGCGGGAAAACACTGATATCGCATTAGGCCCTGAACGGTAAGACAGTCACAAAACGGGAGCTCGTGAATGGAGAATGATACAGGAGGTGAGTAGTCGACAACTCAGTGGTACTTGAACAAGTGTGAGAGCATATTGAGCATGCATAGAAAACAAAAAAAGGTGAATTGTTCTTTCATTATGCTGCAATACCAAGGCACGAACATTAATTATATGCATATATATATATATATATGTGTGTGTGTGTGTGTGTGTGTGTGTGACGTATGTGATTATTGATGAAAACCAGCATTCGAAGGACTCGGTGGGGTAAGTTCCACAGTTCGAACGGAAAGTAATTCAACTGCTGACACACCATTTGTGTGTGGTCTCATTTACGAGAGAGAATGAAGCTGGACTGAATCAAAACATTCTCCTCGTCTGCGAATGAGTGAGCCATGAGCAATCGATGTATGTTGCTTAGGCAGGACAGGACTATGACTGATCTCGGTCATTCCACAATATCTGCAGACAAAAGTTTGTTTGTAGTAAGCGGGAATGTTGTTCAGAAAATTAGATGAAATTTCCCAGAAAAGTCACAGACCGTGGGCAGCTTGTACGAGGCAGTTGCTTAACAGCTACTCAAACCGACCGTCTGGCATGTTCACATTGGATAGTGATCAAATCTCTCTCGGATACGCACGATCTATTCCCTGTGTCACCCGAATCCCATAGCCGTTTTCGGCTGTTTTGAATGCCTTCGTGAATGTGAAATTGTCCTTCTGTGTTTAAACGAGCGCAAAAAACCCAGATAGCCAAACTTTCTGTTGACCCAAACATATAGGAACGAGAAAATTGGCTGCAAATTGAAAGAAATGCAATAAACTGAAATGTGGAACAGAACTGAGGAGACAAAAAATGATACAGCATCTGCTGGGTTGTGTGGTTTCGGAACACGCGATGGATGCGATTTCACATAGACCAGATCTGAGCTGATTGAGTACTGACGAGATCGATTGAATATCCAATCAGTAAACGTATGAGGCAGAGCTAAATTCTCACCGATGAGCATCACTATATTGACCGGGATAGCAGAGATTTAAGGGAAATTAGGAATTTGTCAATGTATACATTATCATCTGATTATAAACAGGAAATCTCTGAGGTGGACTGATTGATTCAATGAAAAAATGGAATATCAATCTAAACCCGAGGTCCGCAATCAGTACAATCTCCGTCCGATAGGGGCAAGATCACGTGACTGATCATAAATTCAATATACACAGTGAGAAGAGTCCAATGATCAGTTTCGACTTCACAAATCTTCATCCGCAAACGAATACATATTCACATCGGTATGATCAAACAAAGTGGGTAGGTGAATTGTGTGCACAACCAGTGGACCGTAACGGGTGCGATAGAACAGAGTTTCTTTGCCAACTGTGAATGCAATTGTGCCCTCAGAATCCACCAGTTTATACTGATCCGGACGAACCAGTCTGTGCTCAACAAACGCGTATCGTTTACCCAGGCTCCAACAGGGCATACGACCGGATGGACCACGACCTTCTAGGACGTGTGAATAGCCGAATATGGCACAACCACCTCCTCGTCCGTACACTTGTCGAATGTAGCCCAGTGTGTCGTACGGGGTCGGATACCAGTCCAGACCGAGTGGACGAAACATGAGCGGGAATAGAATCAATTTGGATATGATTCGACGCGGATTATTTCTGTTGGTCAAGTCCCATACGTGTGTGGAATTCGATTCGAAATACCCAATATCAATATAGGGCCAACCCCACGAATATCGGGACGAGTGTCGACTACGTTCCACATCTAATTCGTTCTCTTTCTCGTCTATAAGTGGTGTGAAAATTTTGTCATGGGAAGGACGTGCGACGAATGTGTATTCCGGGCCCAATGTGACCAAACGTTCACGTACTTTATCACGCACCGTGATATCAATCATCACGTCCACATCATCATCCCAAGGCACAAAATCATGATGTTGGAACGATCCGACCAGTGTGCCACCGTTCAAAATGAACCGATCACCCAGACCGTTTTCGAACATCAGATCAGAGAATCGTTTGAGCATACGTTTTGACAAAGCTCGTTGACCGCAACTCATTAACGGTTCAAATGCTTTGGGTAACGGATAGACAGTTCCGTTCGGGAACTTTCGACCGGTCGGATCTGGTGCGCACGGAGCAATNATGTTCGAAAACGGTCTGGGTGATCGGTTCATTTTGAACGGTGGCACACTGGTCGGATCTGGTGCGCACGGAGCAATGGGCCATTGGAGTTCTCGCAGATTGGGCAATACGTGCCAAGCATTATCTGACATATTCGGCTTCACTAGGAACGCTTCTAGGGAGATTTGGTTTGGTTTGGCCTGGTGTCCTCCATTCCAGCTGAATATCAACACTGTGCCAATAATCAATGTGCCGAAAATTGGCAGCAGTTTCTTATCCCGTATTCCTTTGGTGCGGAACATGTCGTTTGTCTGTGTGTGTAAGATTGGGGTGAGGGAGGGGACGGGGACAAAGTAAGCACAGAAAGGATTTGTCTAATTAAAACAAAACAATTTTCGTCCGGTGAAGTGTTTCAAAAACGTTGTGTAAACACCCTAATTTATTAATTTAACAGTTTTAAGTAAAGAAATGATATAATGAATAGATCAAGAGGAATCAAATGAAACCAGGTTTTTACAAGAAATTGAATGTGCGTAAACATTGGTTTAACCGAAAAACAAAAACAAATTACGATACTGTTATGCCTCTGTGTAATTTGATTGTGTTTTGCTAAAACGACTCACCGGGTTACTTTCTGGTGGTACCTTCATCGAGTATCGACGTACAGAGCTTGTTTTATATATGTATCTACCAATATTGCGTAGACCTCGTTACGGTCAAGGGCATATGTCAGCCAAGCATAAGAATAGATACGTGCGCTGTTGTACACGTCTATTTGGAATATTGTTTGGCGTTACAATCCCGGATGAATTGGTTGATTTAACGTGATCAAAGCAACTGTATTGTGTGTGNGTGCGTGCGTGCGTGCGTGCGTGCGTGCGTGCGTTCTGGTGTCAATGCCAGGTCGACACGATGAGTACTAGTTCACTAGAGAACGAGTAGGTTTTGAATGCGTTTGCGAATTTCGTATCGGGTCTCGATGGTGCAGAAAATCCACACAGACCCATAGTTTCAAACACCGATTCCAATGGCCCGGAGATTATAGGACAACGAATGTAACCAGCATGGAGCTTGTGCAATCAACGTAACGCCCATTGTTAAGGTGAATTAACTTTGCTGTCTGAACATACGTATATATCTTGGATGTTCGGTGGAGGTGATGTTGACGTTGATGATGGTGACGGTGGTGGTGTCGGTTGTAGTTGTGCTGTTGGCGGTGGTTGTGGTCGGGGTTGGTGGTTATTGTTAAAATAATGGAATACATAACTTCCGGTGCGATATACGTAAAAAATCAAAATCAATGAATAAATTGAAACGACCGAAGGGAAACCGCGATGAAGCTGATCCCGTAAATAAACATTCGTTTCCCGTCAAAAATCTGAATAGGGAAGGCAGAAATCTAGGTTCGCATTCTGTGATCATTACGCTGCATCTGTACATGTGCATAGTGTAGTAGAAGTGAATTTTCTTGACAATGAGACAATAAGCGCGAGACAGAGACAAGAGCGTTAATAATAACAAAAAAACACGACAAACAAACAAAAGAAACGTGAGAGGGTATGCCTCAATCACCAAGAGAAAATAATTAACCATTCACGTTGTTTAGGATAGATCGGGTTCGAGTGGGTAGGAATAGCTACATCATCGCCAAAACCAGTGTTCCAATAAGTTTTTTGTTATCAAACATCTAAGTATTTTCTGCTCAGTCGATGACGTAACAGTTACAAGCTTACTGTCAATCCCTGTCCTAAATCGCATCGAAATGTCTTCAGCCATTCGGTGACGTAACTGGCTCTCTGTCCCGCCTATGGAGCTGGCCGAACCTCTTCTACAATTGAATTAGGAAATACAATTTGATTTGACCGAGGAGGGCAATGGTTCCTTCACCAATTTCGTTGGGACCTGGGTCGTGATGAAGACAATGACTGCCTCAACAGCACAATAACCGCGTTTGACGGCAGGGTTCAATCGTTTGCTGACTAGTTCATTCATATGTATGCTTACTTGAAAAATGTTTTCGTTTTTCGGTGGACAGTTATCGGGTTGTCTACCTCTGGTGTGGCTTTACAATGTTTGGTGCTGAATGCACCTGGATGTCCGTTCGGCGTGCATTACCTCTTTTAAGTGGTCACTTTCATCGGTTAAACAGTCCTCCGGATGAAACATTGTGCGAACACAGCTAGCAAAAAAGAACCCGAATTGAGCAAGTACCACATCAATTAATGCAAAGGCAAACTTTCACAATATAAATCGTCAAACACGCATGTATGTATGAAATGAAAAGAGATTGGGCAAGTCATTGAATCACAAATCGATCGACTCGTCATTTCCTGAGAATCCTGAAAAATATTTTCGCAATTTATCGTCATATCGATTGGACCGAATGCAACTTGTTGCTTTATCAGTTGGTCTAAATCATTGTATTCGGTCAAAAAGGAGCAACCACATTGAATACAAAACAGTGCTTGAATCCTGTTTTAATGAGTTACCAAATGTGAAATCGACTAATGAGGATGATTTGGGCTGCTTTAAAGCAAAACTATTTGATTTAGAGAAACAATACCGAATTACAAGCGGAAAACAGAAGTTCTTATCAATCGATGCACGCTTCAAGGGATTAAAATAATTGAAAGCTAATCGAAATATTCTAGTGCTACATCCCGATAAGGGTTCCGGTGTAGTAGTGATGAATGAGTCACACTACAAAGAAAAGATGATGCATATCTTACGGGACCAAACGAAGTTTAAGCTTGACAACACACCAGACGATTCAAGTAAATAACAGGAGAAAATTGGAACGGAAACGAGAACTATAACTCAGGAGAACCTAGTATAAGGTTAAATTGTGAACTGTTTGCGCCCGAAGGAAACACAGATACCACAGAAACCATCAAGTAACATATCTCTCTTCCGAAAGAACACTTGTTCTGGACAATATCTGGACTTCACGAACTTCGCTCACATGCGATACAAAATTGGTTTCATTGGCACGCCATTTCATCAAATGCGTGGAATATGCACACAGGACTCCATTAAACGATTGAAGTGACCTAGGCGCAAACGGACATCCAGTTGCATTCAGCACCAAACATTGTAAAGCCACACCAGAGGTAGACAACCCGATAACTGTCCACCGAAAAACGAAAACATTTTTCAAGTAAGCATACATATGAATGAACTAGTCAGCAAACGATTGAACCCTGCCGTCAAACGCGGTTATTGTGCTGTTGAGGCAGTCATTGTCTTCATCACGACCCAGGTCCCAACGAAATTGGTGAAGGAACCATTGCCCTCCTCGGTCAAATCAAATTGTATTTCCTAATTCAATTGTAGAAGAGGTTCGGCCAGCTCCATAGGCGGGACAGAGAGCCAGTTACGTCACCGAATGGCTGAAGACATTTCGATGCGATTTAGGACAGGGATTGACAGTAAGCTTGTAACTGTTACGTCATCGACTGAGCAGAAAATACTTAGATGTTTGATAACAAAAAACTTATTGGAACACTGGTTTTGGCGATGATGTAGCTATTCCTACCCACTCGAACCCGATCTATTCTGAACAACTTGATTGTTTCACCATCATAATGCATTCCCCTATTGGACCGGTCGCGGATTATTTTATCTAAAAGATTGACCATTTAGTATTATTTCATTTCAGCCTAATTCAAATTCCCGCTTTCGATGCCTCATTGAATTGCACAGTGGATCTGAATTCATTGCCTGTTGCAAAGTGATAACAAATGTGACAATGCAATTTTTTGGGNATATTCCAATAAATTGCTCATTGACCTATCGAGATGAAATAGACCGCGAACCGCACTAAGTCTTTTTCGAACAGGTTCTTTGTACACAGGATGCTTCCTTCGCCTTGGTTTATTGCCAAGCTGTTAGCCGCCTTAGTTAACAGATAAAGCTCAACACTGTCAGCTTGATTTGCTTGTTCACAGCACGCACTATTGCGTCCGAATCAGGAAAGTTTCCCGTGTTGTGGTCTGGGCTGATGATAATGATGAAGGCGTTCGAATACACAAATCTGGTACTACTTTTGCCTGTCCAAGGATGAGATAACAATTTAAGCCTATCCGCGAACTCCGGTTGATGTTACTTTGGGGATGGCGATTTTTGGGTTGTGTGGTACATCGATCGTTGGATGTGCAACGTTTTGAACCGATGATGGAGGGAATCGCTTTCATGGTTCTATGTAGAATTCTATGGAATAGATTAACTGCAAACAGGTATAAAATGACAATGAGGAGTGAAGCCGTTGGCATACGAATTCGGGAGCCTAGGCTGAGCAAACGGGCCAGTCATTTGATCGGTCGATACATGGGTAACCGACTGATCTGCCACTTGTGAAACAACTTTGAAATTTGACGCTGAAGGTCGATGATACTGTGCTCTGGAGAGGATACTAGTGTTGTGAGATACTACTCACTTGTGAGTAGTACGAAAAATGATGCGATCAGCGATTTATTTCAACGATCAAAAATGAACAAAACATGTTGGAGAAAACTGTTGCTGTTCAGTACGGTAAACATAAGAATGTGCACCTAATAGTTCATATCATATGTACTTGTAGGAATTGTGCAAACTTGTTCCAAATGAGATATTTTGTTATATGAATGACGGTTTAACCATATCCTGACCGTTATGGACAATAAACAATAAAGACGATTGAATGATAATATTTCAATGTCTGTTTTGTACAAACGTTATGTTGTTGATATTTTGATTTTTACCGACCCTGAGCATTTTAACACCATTTGAACACTTGTGAATACTATTCATCCCAACCTCTCTGTTTCCCTCGAGGAAGAAAAAGATGGTGGTTTGAATGTTTTTAGGTATAAAAATCAGGAGGCGATCAGACGGAACCTTAGAAAGATCCATCTACCGTAAGACTACATGGAGTGGACCATACTTACAATTTGCCAGTTTCGCTCCTGTGGCTCACAAAATGGTCTGGTGAAAACGTTGTTCCATCGAGCCAGGAATATATGTTCATCTGACATTGTCCAAAAGGAGGAGGCCTTTCTGCGAAGGACACTACTGGATACAGGGCTATCCAGAGAAATTTATTGATGTGCACAGCAGACTAAAGACACCGGTTGATCCCGTCTGCAAGGTACCAAAGAAGAGCGTCTTCATCAGACTCGCCTTTAAAGGCGATCACATAATGAACGATGTGCGTCAAAAGCTCAAGTCGGCACTGTGCCGAACGTTTCCTGCCGCACAGCTTCGATTGATACCGTATACCCAAGGATTTCGTTTAGACAATCGAAAACAGAACCAGTCGAGCATT